GTTTAGCCTTAAGACATATTTGCAGAAATTTAATTGGATTCACGCAAACAGCCAAGAGCTGTGAGAAAATGTTAATTTCATTACACTTAAGTTCTGACTTACAACTCTACCGAGCACATTGTAGATACAACTGTTGCCCGAATTTCAAAATATTTGCATAGCAAAAGTGCTCAAAGCTCTTTAATTTCCATTTGAAATCGGCTTCGCTTTCAGTAATTGTTTTCAAGTCATCATCGTTTCGGCAGTTTCTGCTTAAAGACTGTGGAATATTTGCTTCAATAATCTCGAAACTATTTTCAGCTCACGCAATGCTTGCTCTGAGCCAGAGAATGTTGTTTAGTCCTACAAATATTTTGCATTTGAATGAATGAAAGGGGCAAATGCAAATATATTCAGATAATCTCAGAGGAGCATTCAGTTGGAAAATGCGCAATGTAGTAGTGGAGGGCACGAGTGGGCGAGGAATGTTAAAAACGCACACACATACACATACATATAAATAGATTTGAACAAGGAAATGCCGCATAGAAGGACTAAAAGGATTCCGAGCGAGCGCTCGCATTCGCATTTGCATTTGCCATTTATCTAATACGATTTTTGGTTGCTCGCTCTAGCCGCCCGTCTAATGACCAAATCCATTTGGCCGCAAATTAGTTTTTGTGGTCAGCAAGTGGTTTTGTGGCCGGATTGACTTACCTTGCGCTTGGAGCGTGCCATGCGCTGGTCGCGCGAGTTCTCCGCCTCGCCCGGCGGCCGCTTGCCCCAGACGGCGATGGCGATGCGCGTGTAGGTGAATATCAGCACCAGCAGCGGCACGATGAACTGCAGCGTGAACAGGGTCAGCGTGTAGTAGTAGCCCTGCTCGGCCGAGGGCCAGACCTCGCGACAGATGTATCTGATGTGGCAGGAACAGACACGATGTTGTTGATGTGTGGGTTGTGGCATGCAAAACAAAAGAGCAGAGGCCGCATAGCGGGCCATGAGCGTGAGTTAGTTTAATGTGCATATCAGTTTAAGGCTGTCGGAGGGGGGCGTGGCATAAATGCTGTCAGCCTGTACGCTACCCATGAAAGCTGTCACATGCACACACATGCACACACACGCACACACACACGCTACAATGCAACTTTTATGTTAAGTCTCTCAACTATAATGGCTGAAAAGTTGGCTAAAAGAAAAAAAAAAAGAGAATAGTAAATTCGCCTGCATTTCGCCAACATTTTGCGTTGATTTATTGCCAACTTTTTACTATGCAAATATGAGCTATAAAATATATTTTGTGCAAAGTGCTTCGTTGGCATAATGAACGCAGACTCATATATATATTTTCTTTTTCATTTTTCCAACATTTTATGCACTTGATTGCATTTTGCGCCCACGGTGCGTGTTTTTGATAGGTTCACAAAATGAAAATTCTCATCTGCCAGCTGATGTTGCGGTAATTAGGCACGTACCCATACACATCACACAGCTGCCACACACACACACACACACACACACACACACGCACACACATACACACATGCAGTTGCAGTTGAGCCAAAAATGTGCTCTAATTGAATGTGAAATGAGCAATTGCTTGCATTTAAAGTCAGGCAGAGTCTCATTTGCCATATTTGCAATTCACTCGAGGGCGTGCCCCAAATTGTGGCAAGTATCTTAAGCAAGCAGCCGTAAAGCCATTCGAAGCCAAGCAAAATGGAATTTCGAGTCCTTGCCAACGAGCTATCGATTTCAGCATGTCAGCCCGCCAGCTTCTGTTGCATGCCACGACTGTGGAGCGATTCGACTCAAGTGCCACTCGTTACACAATGCCACGGCCATATCTTTAATGCTACACTTCAAGCACGCACTACACCACATTGTGTGTGGGAGCTCCTAATGGGTTTCTACTCACTTCTCGCACTTCTCGTGCCATATGGAGCTGGGCACCTCCAGTCGGGAGACGACGGGTATGGGAAAGGCGGTGGCCAGAGCGATAAACCAAACGCCAGCGATAATAAATTTGGCATATCTGCAAGTAGAGAACAAGAGAACAAAAGGAGATAAGTAGAGGTAAAGAGTTGGTTTGTTGGTTTCTAAGTGGACGCAACGCTTCAGCTGACGCACGCATTGCGTATACGCCTCATACGACGATCTCGTGAGTGAGTGCGTGCGTGAGTGAATTACAACGAGGCAGGATAATTATAAAGCTTATTTATTTTGGGCCTCACAAATATTTACGTATGCCACGAAAGCCTCGCTCCTTAGCACGCACTCATCGACAGGGCGTGACATAAATGCCAGTGCCCCCCGTTCGCCCCCTCGGCTCCTGGGATATCCGGCATATTTCGTTACAAAGCAAATTGACGTTCGATGCCGAGCTGGCGGCCTGGGCTCGTCGGATTTGCCAGCAGCTGCCATCAGCTGTGTCTTGGGTTACTATTTAAACCAATTAACACGACACAGCCGACCGGCCCTTGCCTATGCCAAGTCCCCTAGGGCCGGCGGGCATTGCGTGTTTTTGTGTCCCCTGGGAAGGACACGACAACAACTTGGCCGTCGGTCAAGTGAGGTTGCCAGCCAAATGCCTAAAGCGTCAAGCAATGCAAATACGCCAGCGGCCACTTAACGGCGCCAATGTCACAAAAGCAACAACAGCAACAACAGCAACAACAGCAACAAAACGAGCAAGGGCGGGACTTCAATTAGTTTTTATGCGCCTTCAATTAGGTTAAATGCTACTAAAAGCCAGCTTTGCATACTTGAGCCGCGCTCGAATAAAATACTGAATATAATTGCCAACTGCTAATAGGTAAGCTGATATTCGCTATGAAGTTATGCTGGAGTGAAACCCAGTGCAAAGTTGATTAGATTTTGGGTTTTAAAAGTTT